GCATCTTTCAGTACATCTTGTCTAACCCCTTCATTTCACAGACAGGGTGGAGGTGGAGAGAGGTTAAGTGACTAGCCAAATTCCCAGATAATAAGTAGATGAGGCAAGGTTTGAACTCAGGACTTCCTGATGCACATGGCTGCCTCTTTCATGCTCCTAACTGCTTCTCTTAGATGCCAAACCTGTATCTGCATGCAGGTCTGTCCCTAAACTTTTCCTTACTACATCTGCAGCCTTCAGGAAGGTTTTTTTTTCACTTTCTGGGACTTAGTTGCTTTTTTTGTAAAAAGAAAGGATTGGACTAGATGACCTCTAAGGTATCTTCTAGATTCTAATGGTACAGTCGATCAGGGGGGTAAAATTGGATTTGTTTCTTGGGCACAGGAAGTGGGGTCTAGGGCAGGGGCTGCTCTGGGAAAGTACCTGAGGGAGACAATAGAACAGAACAAGAATGGGAGAAGGAACTTTTTCCCCAAGCTGGTGCCAAAAATGAGCTCTGGTTCATCTGCTTCATTGCATGCTTATTGACTGATAACCAGCTTCCCCCTTGAGCTTCAAAACAAAGTAGATGGGACAGCACAGTCTTTGTCAGTGGATTCAACACACCTTCCCTTGCATGGCTGTCCTCTTGTGACTACTCTCCCCCCTCAAATCTACAATTGATATTCATTGTCACTGAATTTAACCAGTCTTGGGTGATCATTTTGCCCATGCATGAGTGTTTGTGTGTGTGATCATAGCAAGATCTGACTTGAATACATTTAAGATGCTCTCCTCCTCACTCCTTGGCCTCACATGCCTTACTTAGGCCTAGCACCTACCTATCAACAACCCAGACTTCCATGTCACTCAGGAATGGCCTTTGGCCTGGCATCGCCAAGGGCACTGCTTACTGACAACCCTCACACCCTTTCTTCCTCTATTACCCTCCCCCAATGCCATAGGCCCTGGATTCCCTAAGGGCAACTTTGAGTTCCCTGCCCTACCTATACAGCATCTTACCAGGGATATTCCTGGGCTATACAGGGGGCTATATACTCTTTTAGAAACAGTGCAATGTATACAATAGCCCCTAGTATCCTATATTCTTACAGAGGAAAGCACCGTAGATTAGGGGTCAGAGAACCTGGGTTAGAATCCTGCCTCTGTCAGTTACTATCTATGTGACCTTGGGCAAGTTACTTGCTTTTTCTGTGTTCGTTGTCTTCTTCTGTAAAATGAACTAGATGCTCTCTAAAATTGCTTCTAGTTCCATAACCTTTAATTCTATGATGCCTTACCCTATTATGGAGTCCCACTCAAGAAGACAAAATTTGTCCCAACTCCATCAGCACCAAGTGTTTTTCTGGTTCAAATGAATATTTTCCATGGTAGTATTTCACTTGGTGAACCCCCTCTGCCAAATGTCCTATAAGATCTCATTCACACTTCAGGAATAAACTATTATGTTCTCCTAAGTCGTCTCTTCTCTGTGCATTCATTGAACAAACCAGGCACTATCTTGGCGCAGGGGATGCAGTGATAAAATAAGCCAGTCCCTGTCCTCAAGGAATGTGTACTCTAGTGTGAAAAAAACAACACAAATAGAGATAAATACATACAAAGAAAATACACAGTAATTCCTGGGGTAGGGCACTAGAAACTATGGGGACAAGCTTAGGCTTCCCAGGAGAATGTTCTCCAGGCTGTACGTGCCCCATTCCTTTCACTGTTCCTCATAAGGCATGAGCTCGAGATCTATTCTCTCTGACTTATCAAAAGCCTTGGGAAGGATGCTGTCCCCCAAATTACCAGATCTCCTTCCATTCCAGCCCTTGCACCCATCACTGATGGGCAAATTGTTGGGTCGAAGGATTATGTGTTCTTATCACCACCAACCCTTGCTGACCAACTGCCACTAGTGGATAGACAAACAAGGGAACTCCGGGAGTGTCAGCGCTGCCTTCCCCCATCTACCCTCCAGACCACTGGTTCTTCTTATGGCCCAGGCCTCACAGCCATTGTCTGGGGAAGCGGCTCCTGTGGAGAAAGGGGCAGCCATCCTTACCCAACTAACCAACTGCTGCTTACAAGGCAGGCATGCCAGCCTAGACAAATCATCAGGGCATCCTGAGGGAGACATAGGAGGCAGCATCTGCCAAACAAGCCAAATCACCATGACTCTGACCACTGTCAGACCTTCATGGAGATGGCCAGAGACCTTTAGCCAAAAGTCTTGGGAATAGCAATGTTTCTAGCCCGATGTCTGCAGCCATCATCCTGGAAAGCAACCCTTCTAGAGACATAGCCTGGCAACTTCATGAAGGGGGTACAACCACGTTGGAGACCCAAAAGAGGAAGCTCTCGTCACTAAATTCCTTGGCACGGTCAAATGGTTCAACACTAGCCACTGATAGGATTTCATCAGTGAAAATGACGTTAAGGAAGAGGCCTTAACATCTGCTTTGCTGCTGCTCCCTAAGGATCATGAGGTCTTTCCACCTGAAAAGCTGAAGCCTTCCATATGTGTTGTCTGCCCCATTAGAACATGAGTTCCTTGAGAACCCATTGTATACCCAGGACTTGCCTTAGTGGCTTACCATAGTAAATGCTAAATAATGCTCCATTCATTCTTTCCAATGTCCTTCCTGAAACATGGCATAACTGAACACAGTATTCAACATGTGGATTGACCTATGCAGAATTCAGTGAGGCCATCACCTCTTTATTCCCAGACTCTTTTCATTCAGCCTTAGATCAAGGGGTGCCATCATGCACTCACAGCTTAACCTCTTGCAATCTGGTTAGCACCTCTACAACTATCAAAGGACACCGAGTACCTCCTGTTAATAAAAATCTTTTCTTCCCCCAGTCCTTATCACTTCTGAAGCATTTGACAGTGGTGGCCACCCCCTTTGTCCTAAAATTACAGCCTCTCTTGGCCCTCATGTCAGCACATCGTCCCCATTTTTCTCTGACCAGTTGGATCACTTTTTATTCTCTTTTGCTGACTTCACATTGTCTCCCAGTCTTTGAAATAAGACCCAGTTCTCAGTCCTCAGCCTCCTCCTTGTTATGAGTGCACATATTTCTTTTCCTGGCCTTGCTGCAGTTCCTAAAGGTTCCTTCTTGTCTGGTGTTCTCTCTGCCTTCTTTTAGCCCAACAAATTCACTTATGAACCCCGACCCAAGGCCCTTGAACTGTATGTTTTCTAGTTTTAGTCCAGCTTTGGCAGTAATCATAGGAATCTTCCTGGCTAAAGCAAAAATTGGTCTTTTTTTCCTTAAAGATGTTAGCAGAGTGTCTGCCTCCCATACTGCCAGCCCAGGTTATAACCTCTGATCTACTTACAGGGTGACAAGCTCTTGGCTGCCAGCTTGAACTCGCCACCCACCTTGCTTGGACCAGTGAGGCTTGTGGGTGCCATAATTCCTGATCCCTTAGCCTGACTCCAGACTCCCAATTCCAATGTGGCCACAGGTGATAACCAAAAGAACTTCTCTGATTAACCCCTTTGTCTTTCATCCTACTCTTTCCTTGATTTTCTTACGCCAGAGTCTTGACTTTTATTTATGTTGCTTTCCCTGCCCATGGTCCTGATAAAATATTTAGGAGAAACACTGTTTACCAGGTGCCATTTACATTCCAGCTTTCTTCCTTCAGGCTCCTTCTCTCCAGAGAAAAAAAAAGTCAGAAAGAGTCCACATTTTCTTTGTTTATTATAAAACTGGGAGATCTCCAGAATCCTCTGTGATGCTACATGATCAATATTTATGCCTTCAGATGTGGTAAAAGGAGACAGCTGGTGAGGTTGAACTCCCTGACTCTGATTTCTGCTTGTTTTCCATTGCCTTTTTTGACTTTCCCTAGAGAGATCAGAGATTCTGGAGTTAAGTTTCAAGGTACCCTCTGGGCCGTCCCCCACAGGAGGTAGTGAAATGAATCCTGAACTTGTAGCTGAGCATAAACCCCAGCTCTGCCCCTTACTATCTGTGTGACCTTGGGAAAATCTCTTAATCTCTCTGGATGTCAGCTTCCTTATGTCTAAAATGGTGGCATGGACCAGATGACCTTTTAAGGTAGCTTCCAGTGAAAATTTATCAAGATCTTTTGATCTTTACTTTACGAAAAAATCTTCAGTAAATGGGTAACTAGGCCAGGCCCGTAACAAAATTGTTATCAAGATTAAAAAGTAGTCAATATCCCTTCCTCACAACAAATCCGCTTAAAACTTTCTCTTTGATCTCTGAAATCCTCAAACTATGCCAGGTACTCTGGAGCTCCTCATTTAGTTACATCTACTGAATTTGACCTTTCCCTACTATGCCTTATGATCTGGACTTTTCCAGACTTCATCTTCCATAACAAAATTACCTTTCCTGTGCTGCAGTACATTTAAGCTCTCTTCTTTATGAGATTTCAGTTAGTTAATACAACTTGGGTATTAGTAGTTAACAGTGGTATGTGTGTGTGTAGTGGTATATGTGCACACACATCCCCCCTATATTTTATATGTACATATGTAAGTGTATGTGTGTGTGTATACACACACACACACATATATGAACATGTACACACACATGTGTTTGTGTGTATATGAATGAATATATTTCAGTTATAGCTGGACCAGACCTTAAAACCCAGAAGGGTAGACCTGGAAGTGAACTTCAAAGTTATTCTTGTCCAACCTCATCATTTTAGAGATGAGAAAAATAACGAACCAGAGAGGTGACATGATTTGCCCAAGGACATATACTAAGTTAGTGGCAGAGTCAGGACAAGAAACTGTTTATTCACTCTTATTTCAGTGTTCTTCCCCTTATACTATATTAGCTATGTGGCATAATGGATAGAGTGCTGGCCTAGGACTCAGGAGGACCTGAATTCAAATCCAGCCTCAGACACTAGATATATGACCCTGGGCAAGTCACTTAAGCTATCTGCCTCATCTGTAAAATGGAGATAATAATAGCACCTAACTCTCAGGGTTGTGGTGAGAATCAAGTGAATCAATGTTTGTAAAGTGTTTGCAAACCTTAAAGTGTTATATAAGTGTTAGCTATTGGTATTAACATTATTATCATCATGAGCTCAGTCAGATGTCTGATCAAGATGGAACCACGGTTGAATGAATAAGCATCTATGAGATGCAACAGAACTATCTAGGGGCTTGGACTTCCTTTTCATTCTCTTGGGGTTCCCATTAACCTCAGACAGCTTCTTGGGTAGCAGCTACACCTTTGCTGTTCAGTTTCTTGGAGGAAGGCACCCAAGATCATTGGCTAGGGGAGGCTGGGAATGTCACAAATTGTATTCCACTGGCAAGAAATACCACATAGGCAGGAACATGGACTTCATATGAATTTTTAATGCACAGAACAGCCTGTCAGGACCTCTGCTGGGGTGGGTCTGTGAGCAGTAGGAAGAGGCAGGAGTTCTGCAAATGGGAGAGCATTAAAAAAATCCTCACTGGGAAAATTGTCAGGTCTACTTTGGGGAGATGGCTACAGCCAAAGGGGCTGTCCTGTGTGCTCTGAGGTCTGGGTGGAGAGGCAGGGGAGGAATAGGTGAAGAGAGACCGCAGAGAAAGAATTGCTGAGGCCAGTCAAAGTCAAAGGGAAAAGGAGGGAAGGGTAATATGTGGCCCCTATCAGAATGCTCTCATTTCAGGATTTCTGGAGTCCATAAGAAAAGGTTTTAAAAAGGTGAGACTTTATGACAGAGTCAAATAATGTCTCAAAAGAGAAAGAAAGAAAATAATGGATGATCCCGGCTGCTACCTAAGGTCCCTTCAACTGTCCATGGGAGAAAAAGTCTGGCTTGGCCTTTGTGACTCCTTCTAGTCACCCCCTGTCCCAAACCCCACCCAGGATCCAGGTTCCTCATGTGTCCTTCCATCTCTCCTTCCTGAGAGTCTCTGTTCTTGGCCATTCAAAGCCCGAGGCCAGTCTTCTCTCTCACCGGCCCTTGGACTCGCCATACGTGTTGCGTGCCATGGAGATCATCTTCTCCTCACATGTGACTTTGGTGTCCTTGAGGATGCTATACCAGACCATGCCAGCTGGCCGCACCTCTTCACTGCGGCAGAAGAGGTAGGGGATGGTGTCCACACGGCTCTGGATGTATGCGCTGCGCAGGAGGGTAGAGCAGTGGCTGCTGACCTTCTCCAGCCTCCTCAGGATCAGGTGGGCTTTTCTGAAAGGCAGGAGGAAAGAGCAGTTGGAGGACCAGGAGCCCCAAGGTCTGCTAGCACAGAATCATGGGATTATAGGATTTTGAGCTGGAAAAAATTTTAGAGAATGTATTCTGCCATGCCTCTTGAATTTCTACACATACTGGAAAATCACCAGGCTTTATTCACATTGGAAGGAACTTTGGGTTATCATTTAGTTTAACTCCCTCATTTAACCAAAGAGGAAACTGAGACATGCAGAGGTTAAAACATTTGCCTGAGATCACACAGGTAGTGAATCAATGGCACAGTAGGGATTTGACCCTAGATCACTTGATGTCAAATCTAGTATTCTTTTCTCTACTCCATGTTGTCTGTCAATCTGAAATCAAACATCCCACTTTTGTTACTTACTAGTCATGGGGTCACAGGCAAGCTACTTCACTTATATGGCCCTCAGTTTTCTCATCTATAAAATGGAAATACTAATACTTGCCCTGTACAACTCCTATAGATCACAGGATATTAGAACTGGAAGGAACTGTGGTGGTCACTGAATTTTGTTACCTAATTTTACAGTTGAGAAAATAGGTTCAATCCTGGCTCTGTCACTTGCTACCCAAATGACTTTAAGGCCCAGAGAGGTTAAGAAATTCATTTAGTTTCCTAATCTGTAAAAAAAAAAATTGGGGTGAGGTAGAGGGTGCCCTGAGGTCCCTCCCAGCTCTGGATCTCTGCTTCTATGCATCCCAATGGAGACCACCTTCTTCTCACATGTGATTCGGGCTCCTTGAGGATGCTAGAGCCAACGATGCCAGTTGGCCCCACCTCATCATTGCAGCAGAAGAGATAGGTCTCTAAGTTACCTTCTAGCTCAGAATGATGCTCCTATAACTTCAGACCTAGAGGAGTAAAGTCACTTGCCCAAAGTCATCCCCAGAGCAGAACTAGATCAGAATGCCAATCTCTAATAGCCATTCTAGTGCACATTCCTTTTGCAATAAGCTAATGTGTGGGAAAGTACTTTGAGAACTGCAAATTACCATGTCAAGGTAAAGGATTTTTATTATCGCTTAAAAGCAAGGAGTGTGATATGTTTACTATTGATTGTATAAGGGTATTCTTCTTTTTGTTTATTCTTAACTCCCCTCCTTCATGATCTAAGAGTTCTCCAGTCCCCACTTCTACTCTTCTAGGACTTGGAGGAACAGATCCATGTTTACTCTCCCTAAACTAAAAGCTAAAAGAATATCAGAGATAGAAGGAACTTTCGAATATAGAACATTAATGTTGTAGAGGACCCTGGAACACAGTAGAATATGAAAGGAAACTTTAGAGATCATGTAGCCCAACACCCTTTGGCTGAAGAGGAAGAAACCGAGGCCCTCAGTTTAATAATTTGGCCAAGATGATCAAGAGCCAGGACTTTAAACTAGGTCTTTTGTCTCTTCAATCCACTGCTCTTTCCATTTTTTTCATGACTTTGTTCTATGATTCCATGAGCATTTATTAAATGCCTGCTATGTGCATGGGAATGCATATATTATGTCCATATGGGAACATACAGACAAAATGGAAAATGGTCCCTGCACTCATGTAACTTATGTTCTATTGGGAAATACAATGTGGTTAATACAAAATAATTTGAGGAGTGATTGAACACTAACGACTGGGGAGAATAGGGAAGATCTCCGTCCAGAGGTGGCACTGGAGTTAAATCTTGTAGAAGGCTGAGGCAGAGGTAAGAAGGCAATGTATTTCAGGCATGTGGAAAAGCCCTGGCAAAGGTATGGATGCAGAAGACGGAATGTTAAATTCAGGAACAGCAAGGCAAGGCAATTGTTGGTTGTAATGTAGAGTGTGTGAAGAATTTCTGAGTATCCTTCAACACCAGGCCTTCCCAGCCATGAATTAAGAAGTCTGAGGAGGGAGGCAGGGAGAGGTTTGTCTTTAACCATCTGTTTGGGTGGGGAGGGAGGGGCTGGGTAGGGAACCTCAAAGTCGGCACTCAATAAAGATTTATCGATTGTTTAATCATATAATAACTTCAGGATGTTGAAGGGCTTCTCTGCTCAGCCAAACTCACTTACTTCATGGCTGCCAGAGCCTAGATTTGCTAATGGAGTCGAATGTTTTTGTTAAGTCGTTGAATACAGCATTTTCCCTAAACACTAACCTTTCCTGGAGACTCTTAAGAGAGTAGAAGTTGCTCGGCCCTGGGGCATTATACTCTATACCAGCCTGGTCCCAGCTTCTATTTATAGCAGCCAGAGGTATGGAGGAGGAGGAGAGAGGAAGCAGGGGTTAGGTATTATTCCAATATTCTCACCTCATTACTTACTCCCATTGGCAAAATGTTCATGCTATACCTGGTGGACTGGGGCGAGTAGGAATTGCATTGGATGCTGGGACTAGGTAAGGAGGAGAGAGACTAGATAAGCAAAGGATAGGGAGTTGTTTAATTAGGAAAGCTTTAGGGAATTTCAGCCTTGGATCTATGCACTCTACTATTTTTCTAACATCTTCAACACAGCCCTACTGATTGAGAGTCTGAGACAGAAACCTCCCAGCTTCAGAGAAGCCAGAGCTCCAGATTAAAGTAGGGGGGAGGATATGTGAAGGGACTGACATCAAGCACTCGTGGGGTCTGTGCAGCTCCCTCCCTGGCTTTGAACATCTCTGGCTCTCTTAGGTTATTCTCTCTTTGCTTCAGATGATTTGAAAAGCTTGTTGGCCCTGACTCCTTCTCAGTCAAAGCTGAGTCTTTCCCTCCCAAAATAACTCAGGGCCAGAATGACTCTTCCCACTGCAGACAAGATTGAGGGACAGAGATGTGTCCTGCTGTGACATTACAAGTGCATCTGCTGTGTCTTATGTGGATCACAGGAAGTTAGAATCATAGATTTAGAGCTGAAAGGGACCTTAGAGGTCATTCAATCCAACCCCCTAATTTCACAGATGAGGAAATTGAGGCCCAGAGAGGTTAAATGACCAGTCCAAAGTCGCATAGGAAGCAAATGGTAAAGCCAGGGTTTGAATCTAGGTACTTTGGTTCCAAGCCAAAGTAAACCACATAATTGAACACACACAACTAAACTACATAACAACAGCAAACATTTATATAGTTCTAGAAAGTGCTTTACATGTACTGTCTCATTTGAGCCTCATAACAATTCTGTGAGGTAGCTTTTATTATTGCAGCCATTTTACTGATGAGGAAACTAAGTCTCAGAGGTTAAGCATCTTGCCTATAGTCATGCAGACACTAAGAGTCTGAGACAGGATTTGAACTCAAGTCTTTCTGATTCCAAGTCCAATACTCTATCTCACTATACTACCCAGATGCTCTTAGCTTTAGAGGGTTAATAAATGAGTGATTTCTTTGCTTTTTTTGGTTTTAGGTAATAACTCCAGGTTACATTTCTGTTGTGCTCTACACATTCATTTACAAAGCATTTTTGAATGTGTTATTTCATTTGAACCCAAATAACTATGAGATAGGCAGGATAGGGATTATTTAGCTCCATTTTATAGATGAGAAAACTGAGGAGGAGCAGCTAGATGGCACAGTGGATAGAGCACCGGCCATGGAGTCAGGAGGAACTGAGTTCAAATCCGGCCTGAGACCAAACACTTGACATTTACTAGCTGTGTGACCCTAGGCAAGTCACTTAACCCCAATTGCCTAAAAAAAAAATTTTTTTTTAAATAAAAAATAAAAAAAAACCAGCTGAGAAAAAAAAAGGAAACTGAGGGAAAGAGAGGTTAAATGATTTGACCAAAGTCACACAGATAGTAAATAACTGAGGAATTATTTGAATCCAGATCCTCTGACTCCAAATGTAGTTCTATGAAGTCTTTTATATATTGCTTCACAAGTCTAATAAGTATTTTTAGAAGTCTAGAAAACATACTTCTTCCCGTTGACAGGCTACCTCTGTTCTAGATATGCTTGACTCCCTTCCAGCCTGACACTCCCACCCTCCCTCCTTTCTGGAATTCTCTCTGAAAACTTCTTTTCTAAAAATTTATTGGATGTGCTTACTTGTGACATCAGAGGCAACTAAGTGGCTCAGTGGATACAGTGCTAGGTCTGGAGTTGGGAAGACCTGAGTTCAAATCCAGCATCAGACACTAGCTGTTGTGTCCCTGGGCAAGTCACTTAATCTGTTTGTCTTAATCCCCAGGAAAAGGAAATGGCAAACCATTCCATTATCTTTGCCAAGAAAACTCTATGGACATTTTTGGTGTGATATGGTCAATATAGTCCTTGAGATCACAAAGAGTCAGATGTGACTAAATGGCCAAACAATAATAATTTGTGACATCATAGTTGGGAAGCCAGTCAGACACAAGTGAGCAAGAGCCTATTTTGTCCCATAATATTTTGACACATCTTCCACAGCCACACTAGTATGGGCTGGCCTAGGCATAGGCCAGCTGAATAAGTGGAGAACTGACCAAGGCTAACTTGGGTGCATGGAAAGGAGGATACCTGCAAGCTGGATCATCAAAACCTTTTCTCCTTTTCCCATGGCCAAGATCATAATACCCCAGGCTCAAGGGCTTTGTGGCTGTATCTTTCTCATCTAGGGAGCAAAGGGGATCTTTGGCTTTGATCAGTCTACTACATTATGACTTCACTTAGAATCCCTACCATTCAGGGTCACGGGATGACTAGGCCAAAGTATCCTTCCCCAGCCATTACCTTCTGATCCCTCCATCCATGCAGCCTTGGTCCAGTCATGTCCATATCCAATCTTCTCTACCCTCCCTCCATTTTGTTAACAAACTGCCCCTCACATTAGATTTACCATTCTCATGCTTTTTCTATTTCCTTGTAATTATGGAAACCTGGCTTTTCCTGGAGGATGCTGCAATCCTGTATATCCTCTCCAGCACTGTATGTACCTTCATTCATGCTGCTTAAATATTTGGACAGGAGAAAGGGTAGGAGTAGGCATGCTTCTTGTTCCTCACAGTCACTTCCAGATTCTTCCCCTAATGTAATCACTTAGTAGTG